ATTCTTTATAAACATAAAATCAGCTCTTGGCTCAAGGGCCATACAAAATCAGACTGTGGGTCATGCCTTGAACCCTAGTTTGCCAACCCCTTATATCGAGCCTTATTCTTAGGGAAGAGCGATTTGTACTTTAATTTTCTACCCAGGCCTCCTCTCAGCTATTACAGAATCAAATTGTGACTCTTTGCCATTTCTTTCTGCATTTCTAGGAAGTAAATAACTCATTTGATAGAACCAGAAAAACATGAATCCCAAGACTGTTTTTTTTTTTTTTTTTTTTAAATGGTACGCGGGCCTCTCACTGTTGTGGCCTCTCCCGTTGCGGAGCACAGGCTCCGGACGCGCAGTCTCAGCAGCCATGGCTCACGGGCCCAGCCGTTCCGCGGCACGTGGGATCCTCCCGGACCGGGGCACAAACCCGTGTCCCCTGCGTCGGTAGGCGGACTCTCAACCACTGCGCCACCAGGGAAGCCCCCAAGACTGTTTTGAAAATGAAAAGAGAACACCTACCTCATGTTAATATCATGCTTTTATTGTGGGTTAGCCACTTTAAGTCTTAATTGATTTCATTACCTTCTGGGGAAAAAAAAATATTTAAGGGAATGTGTCTACATCAGTTTTTACTCCTCTGAAAATAGCTACTTCACTGCCCTAGATAAAAATAGAAGTGACTACAACTACAGCTGTTCAACGTATTCATGAACTGTTTCTTAGGGGATGATTTCTCTTTAGCATAAGTGTCAGTATATCATATTGTAAAAATTTATTTGAAAGTTTATTTCTGAAAATAGGAATTCATGGATAGGCTTTCTGTGGTAACTGGTTAAGCTTAAAGAGTTTGCCTATTAGGTTAATGCATTTTTCAAAGCATCATCTACTTGGCTGTTTTTATTGTAGTAACAAATAATATGTTCACTGTTTACCTAAAATATTGTTATATATATTCATGTTCTGATTTAGAATTTCAGAAAGAGAGAAAGAAATAACTGGTCTCCAGAATGAGTTAGTTTCTTTGAAGGATGCTGTTGAACACCAGAGGAAGAAAAACAATGTAAGCAAATTTTTATCAGAATAAAGCTTTTTATTATTATTATTTCACTGAAATATCATGGTTAAGAATTTTTTTAATCAACTTTTACTTTAGATTTCTTAATCTTTGTAGGAAAGTACTGTTTTATGTGTAGGTTTTATGAGAGGATTATTGGGGAAACCACTTTATTAGAGAGTGGATTTTTTTAATGAATAAATGAAAAGTCCATTTTGTACATGTCTGAATATCATTTTAAATGTTGACATTACAATTATTACAGCTACAGATTTTTTTTTAAACTATAGTTGACTTTCTGTTAAACTTTTATCTGGAAAAATTATTCTTTCAGCTCAGTATCTTAAAATTAAAGGTTTTTGTTCTTATTTTGATTGCGCTAGCCTTTTTGTAAACTGAAAATAATGCCAGTATTCAAACCTAGTATTTTCAGTAATTAAATGTCTTTCAAAGTCTTCTGGCACCTCCCTTTTTAAATTGAGAGGTGTTTCAAATTTTGGTAATTAAGCATATTAGAGGGCTCAAAACCTGAATACATTTAGGTTAGAATGGAAGGGATAGTGAAATATTGACAAGTAGTAAATTTAGATGAGTTTCTTAAATTCTCTCTGACCAGAGGATGACACCTTTAAGTAGAATGCAAGCGTTCTTGTTAGATGAGGAATTTTTGCACACAAAAGTATCATTGTTAAGACTTGAGCAAGGTCAGAAATGTTATTGAAATCTAAGTGGGTATTTTCTAATGAAAGCTAATTTTTCAAAGTTTGCGTTAATTTGTTAATTTAACAAGTTGACATGTTTCTGCTCCTCTGAGTTTGTCAAAATTAGGTATGTGAATTGCCCTTTGTGTGTTTGTGTAACATTACTAATAGCATTGCTTGCCCAGAAAACCTAAGCTCAATTTGCCAGTATTACTGTTACCATCTTAACTGTGTTTTATTATCGGGATTCTGAGATAAGGAAGGTATGGTAATGCCAGTCTAATGCCTCAGCAGCAGCAGTGCTGGAGGCACTGAACTGAAGTGTGTGAAAAGAGCCAGGACACTGGAGGCCAGCAGACTGCAACGTCAGTCCATTCTAATTCTGCCCCCGCATTTGCTGTGTACACTTGGTCACATTTATTAACCTACCTGAGCTGTGGTTTTGCCATCTATAAAATGGGAATAATTACCTCTTAGGGTTGTTATGAAGACTAATGAAAATTTTTGTGACGTGCCAAGTACAGTGTTGGGCACATAAGTAAGCATGCAATAGATGGTGATTATTGGCTTTTTAGTTTTTGTTTTTAATCTGTTTAGATGTCTAAATCTGAAGAAAGGCTGAAATATAGCAGATTGTCCTTATTAGTATTTGCTAATGAAATGCTGTTAAAATAGATCTTTCAGAACTCAGTTTCCAAAGCCCTCTGTTTCTCTTTCTAGCCTCCTCGTTTGCCTTGATCAAGTAGCTCATACAGTTCCTGTCAGGTTGCTTTTTGGTATGCACATTTGACCATGCCAAGAAAGATAGAGAAATACAGTGAATTCCTATGTCATTCCTAGATAGACTTGAAATGTGTTAAATCAATAAAACATATTTAGAGAAAAAAATGTTATGCTTCAGTGGAAAGTCCCATGAGTGATACTGGGTCCTGTTTAAAAATCACATATAAAGCTTTTTGTAATACTTGTGTATTTGTTCTGTCCTTAATCCTCTAATATTCGATGTACCTGAAATTATATTTGTAATCTTGGTTTCTGTGTTTACTTTTGAATGCTTTTTCTTCCTTGTTATATGTGCATAGTAATTACTTTACAGCTGGCATATTTGGTGTGTATACTAAAACATGGGAAGTGGGCATCTTTGTTTTCTCATTCAAACTTCTAAACATTGCTTTTTATTTTTTTGCTAATATACATATTTTCCCATTGAAATAATTTTGCAGTAAGCAGCAGTTAAATGCAGTGCAAAATACTGATGAAGCAAAAAGCAAAAATCTTTCAATAATGGATAAACTGAAATCATTCTTTCTAAAAATGATTAGGACCTTCGGGAGAAAAACTGGGAAGCAATGGAAGCATTGGCATCAACTGAAAAAATGCTGCAGGACAAAGTGAACAAGACTTCCAAGGTTGTAATGCTAACTCCTAGAAACAATCCACTGAACAGAGAAAATCTGCAGCTTTGTCTTAAAATCAGACTAAAGCATTTAATTTTACTGCAATTTAAATATAAAATCTCCTTATCATCCACATTTATCACCTCTGTCATCTCTGCTTTTTTTCATCTATTCCTTGATGCTTTAATTTTGGGCATGCTGTTTGTTGTGATTACTTGATTGTTTGAGCTTTGGTGATTACTGCTTTAAGCTGATGAGTCTCAGGAAGCCTTTGCTACCCATGTAAGCTCTTGTTAGACAGAGTGTACCTCTTGGGTTGATTAAGAGAACTTGGTGAAAACCCTGAGCCCAAAAAAATCTAACTGAATTAACAGACACATTTGAGTACCTAGAATGCACCTGTGATGCACAGTGGACTCTCCTAGGTTCTTTGAGGCACACCAAGATGACTCAGACAAGGTGGAAAATGATAAAAGTCTTCAGAAGTACAAGGACAGGATCAATTCTGGGTGTGTTATTGGGGATGCTTCCTTAGAAGAGATGGAATTAAAATTAAACTTTAGGTTTTGAAGTATCTGGACAGTAATGATGCACATTTTATGTTTAGTATGGAATATTAATGTAAGGGATAATCCTCTTGACCAGAGTATGTAAAGTGCTCCTGAAACGTATATCCCCCTCTGTCTTAAAAACGATTAAGGATATTCTCCCTGAGTTCAAGTTGTTCCATGGATTTAAAGATTTCTAATGAATTGTAATTGAGAAGTTGTTTTTAAAGTTTGAGAGAAATAAGTGGGCCAGTTCAGTCAAGCACTTTGAAAATTCCTGCCAAGAGTAAATGTGGAACAGAATTATTGAATTTCATATATGGGTTAAAGTTCATTATGTTATTCAATTCAGCATTCTGTAAGTATTTTGTGTGCTAAGGTAATATGCTGAATTTTAAATGTAAGTCTTAGTGATATTTGAAGGACTTTTTTTTAAAGCAGAATAGAATTTTAATAAATTTTTTTATCAATCATGTTTGTAGTTATATTTCCTTTAGTGTAAATGGATTTGTATTTACTTATATACTTATTCATCAGGCCCTAATTTTCACTAAAACCTTAATTTGAGATATCTGGCAGATATCGGAACCAGAGAAATCTAGGCCAGAGAGTAGAAAAATCTAGGCTAGGTAGGACGTTATTGTTTCATTGTCAGTGGTTGCAGTCAGCCCTGTCAGCAATGGGGGTTCTGTATAGTTTCTGATTGTTTCTATAACTTTGTTTTTCACTGTTAAGAGCTACCTTTTAGCCTTATTTTGTTAATGAGGCTGGTTATCTAGAAAGTGCTAAACTCTTAATATCATGCCATTCCTACAAGAAGTTATGTGCCACCTGTCATAGGCATTCTTGCATATTATGCCAAAAGAAAGCTAGAATTTGTTTCATCATGTGTTTGGTGGTGAATATAAGAATTTATCTATATTTCAGAACTAATCACCAAGTGCATGATGGCTTCTCGCATGGCTGATGATCTACAGAGCATAGACTTTATACTCCTTCTCTATTTTAATGGAATTTAGACAGTCCTCAGATAGCATAGGTATAAAATGATGTTGATTGACCCCTGACTACAGGTTGTGCTGTAAGGAGTAAATGTTCTTGAGGACCTACTATTAATGACAGGTTCACATGAAAGGTACTTCACACATGTTACACTTAGGTAAAGATAGTAAGGAAATTATAATAATGCAGTTTTCAATATTAAAGTGGAATAGAAATTGCTATCCACAACCAAACTACTATGTCAAATGAAAACTTTTTACCTAAAATTGCTAGTACATCCTTGTGCTTCTTAGTTACAAGTTAGACACCTGTTTCCTTTAGTTAGATTCTTTTTCCCTTGGGGAATTTTCAAAAAAGTTTCTGTTCCACAGTGTCTCTTTTCCTGATTTTCTTTAGAGATTGCTCTACCACTCCTATGGTCAGATGATAAAAATGAGCTCTTCATTGTTTCTGAATTAGCAGTTAATCATTTTCCTTAAATGAGTGTACCTTATTTTATGAAGTTAGGTGGATGTATCCCTGAAAAATAGTGGACTTTACTGAGTTATTGAAAATACTCCATTAAAACATCCATTTTTAAAATCCTGCCATTAATCCGAATAAAGTAACAGCTTTTTGTGTGTACAGAATATGATTAATCTCTAGCTTCTTATTGTGTAACTTTAGATTTTCATGTTATTAGATTTTCTTAAATTGAAGCGTGTGCATCTTAAATCCATAATAGATTGGAAGGATTGATTTAAATGGTGGGGGAAGATAGAGTTGAGATCTTGCTAGCTTGCTTGCCTTCTTGTCACCAATGGAACTTCACCAGTGTTTTGAGATGATTTTCTTGGCTTGGTTTAGATGTGCATTTTTATATATGTCTTTTTTTGTTTTTTAATCTTGTAGAGATAGTTTGAATATTCGATTTTTTTTCGTGTGATCAAGTCATTACCCTAATTTTGACAAACAATGCTTTTGAGTTAATAATTGATACCCATTAGACTTGGATTTAAAATCACCAAATCTAGACATGCATTTGTGGTACTTATCTTTAAATTTAACAGCTGACAGAGTCCATACACACATGCCAGAGTTAGTCTTCTTGACGGCATTGGTGAAGTAGTACACCATCAATTTTTCCTCTTTTTTCTCTTTTACTCTTTTTCCCATATGTACACCTGTCAAATTTTGGTGGTTCCTTTTTTTCCCCCCTTTGTTTAGCATAAATAGCTTCACCTGACCTTGAAACTGGAAGTATCAGAGTTGCCATTTTAATTCCATGGTCCATCAGTGATGCATTTTTTGGAAAGAGATTTACCAGCCTAATAAGCCTCAGTTATGTCACCCAGATGCATATTTTTTGCATGTAGTTTGTTTTAGCTGTAGGAATTATTTTTTTGTTTTTGTTTGTTTGTTTTTTGAATTGTTCCTGGAGGGGTATCACTTGATGGCAAGGAAAATGTCCATATTGTCAGATATTGCCTTAGTTTGATTAATATAAGACATTGTTACTTAGGGTGCTTTTGCAGATTTTTTCTTATGTAAGCATTTTGATATTTCAGAATGGGAAATTTGAACATTTGTCAGTAATAAGAATTTTTAAAATATTGTCTTTTTTTCCCTTAGAGCTTAAAAGACTGTAGCTGTTTTTTTTTTTTTTTTTAATTCTGTAATCTTGTAAGTTTGATTTGGTTCTTCTTCTGCTTTAGGAAAGACAACAGCATGTGGAAGCTGTTGAGTTAGAAGCTAAAGAAGTTCTCAAAAAATTATTTCCAAAGGTGTCTGTACCTTCTAATTTGGTAAGATTAATTTATTATTTTTTAAAACATGACGTCTTTATCATTATTCAAGGAAGTTGTGAATAAGCAGCATTTGCACTCTGCACTTGGTTTTAGGGTGCACTTGATCCCTCAGTCTTTCTCATTTTTAACCTAGGGTGTTTTGAGTAGTTAACAATCAATAACTTGGTTCAATGACATTTATGTTTTTTTAGTTGATACTTTGTTGTAATCTATAAAATTTACATATGAGACATATTATTTAGAGGATCATAAACATCATATTTGGGAAAGAAATATTTCTTCCTAAGTCAGTAGTGGTTAATAAATCAGTAATGTTCTTAATGGCTTTATTCAAAATAGAACTTAATTTTAAGTGATTCCTTCTTAGTTTTAGGAACACTTCATTTTTAAATGTATTTAATACTAAGAACCAGGCTATTTTTATTTCATAACTTAAGATTTTGGTCATCTGTTAACTTCTTCAAGCAAAAGTCTTAAAGATGATACAGAACAACTTGCTTTATTTGAGGTTGTATGTGTTTTAAATGGGAGAGAAAAGTTCCCTCCGTTCAGAGAATTAATACAGTGAATACTTGAGGGCAGAGAAAGCCAGTGAGTGTGCATATAGTCTTCTAAAATGGTGGCACAGGTCCTTTTCTCTTTTAGTGGGAGGTTGTATGTATGTATAGTCAGAAGCAGAGAGAGGAGCGTAATGAGCCAGGTAAACCAGTATCTCACTTCAGCCATTACCAGTATATCGCATGCATTGATGCACGGTCTTGTTTTACTTCTAGCCCTGTACTTCCTCCGTTATTTTGAAGGAAGTCAAACATCAGAGCATTTCATCTGTAAATATTTCTAAAAGATAAGGATTCCTTTAAAAAAATACTATTATTATATTTTAAAAAAATTCTTGATGTCATACATCTAGTCAATATTTGGATTTTTTCAGTTGTCATATAATGTATTTTAATGAAATAATAACTACTTATTGTAGTTTGTTTTAGTCAGGACTCAAATAAGGTCAACCTATGATTGATTTAAGATGTCTTTTGGACCATCTTTATTCCACAGGTTCCCTTTTATTTGTCAGCACACCGCCTTGCCCACCCTTTTTTTTTTTTTTTTTTTTAAAATGTAGTGGTTTCATATGCAGTTTCCCAGTCTGGATTTAGCTGACTGCATCCCAGTAATGTCAGTATGTTCCTCTGTCCTTTGTGTATCCCATAAATTGGTAGTCAGTGGAGGCCTGATTAGATTTCAGGCTCAACACTTCAGGGGTAAGACTACTTCATGGGCAGTGTTGTGTACTTCCATTAGGAGGTCCATCATGTCTGCTTTTGCTCCTTTGGCCCGTTGGAGCTTATTTAGGCTGGCTACCAAATCCTTTTGACACAGCACTGCTAAACTTTGGTAGCTTCTTTGCTTTGTGGTGTGACAAGTTGTTCCTGATTTATTGTGTATACTTCCTGCCCCAAACTTGGAATCAGGGTATTTCTCAAGGAGAGGGCTGTAGGTGCCAGGTTTGATGTAAGTAAACGTCATGGCCTGTTCTCTGTGCAGTCTGAGTTAGGTGCTTGCTCTCTTCGGTTTTATCTACATATTGTCTGCGTCTAACTTGCACAAGAAGCAAAAATTCTTTTGTTTCTGTTGTAACTGTTGAGGATATATTCAGGTTTGATCAGCTTAGTAGATACGGGTTGAGCTGATGAAATAACCTGTGCTGGGCAATATGAATAAATTGTCAGTTCTAGTACTGTTCTTACATTGAACCTAGGAGAAAGGGTTGCTCTTCATATTTTTTCCTTTGTGGCCATAAGCCGTTTTTATTTCTTTATTCCTAATTTATATTTTATTAGTGGAAATAGAATTGCAGGATTTATTTGGCAGTATTTTATGAGCCAGAAGAGTTAATAATTTGTGTTTCTCTTCTCTAAAGATTGTATAAGATCACCAGAATTAAAAATTCTTTTTGATGTAACAAATTCATTCTTAACAGCAATACTACCCACCTTCAACCACCAAACCTTTTTGACACTATAAATATTTATAAATCACCATAAGACATGAATGATGATATTTGGCTTTTGTTCATCCACTTGTTAAAAGTTGAATACTTCTGCATATAGTCTGTATTTTAAAAATATGTTAAGCTTTTTGTGTGCTACCTAGGGTCTAGCATTTTAAATTTTTAGACATATGATGGATAATAAACTATTTACCTTAAGATAATAATTAAATTTAATATTAATATAGTCAGTAGATATAAAAGGGCTTTTATACATGAAGTAATTTTTTTAAACTGTTTTCTATTGCTTTTTTGCTAAGAAAATCAGCAGAGGAGTGATCTAAACTATATGACCTGGATTGAAGAGAGGCTTACATACTTTAAGCATCTAAATCTGAATTTAATTTGTATTGAATCCCAGTATTTGGAGCTAAGTAGGATTTTAATAGTATCATTTTGTCATCATTCAAATTTATGATGTGAGAATGTAATTTTGTTTTTAAATGGAGAGGCTTTTTTGACTAATATGTACTATGGGGTATTGTACTATAGGGTGATCTCAGCATCCGGTTTTCTTTGTTTTTTATTTGATAGAGTATAGAGAATCCTGATTCAGCCACATAAGTAAAACTTTTAATTAGGGCAATTAATAGAAATTTCATGTGTGTTCTTTTTGTCTTGAATTAAATCAAACCAAAGACTTAAAAGAGGAATAAGAGGAAATTTGCTTTAAAGTATCTAACAGATACTCTTTATCAGAGTTTAAAATTCAGACAAGAAGCATCAAAAATCTAGAATAATTTATTCTGAAATTTGGAATAATGACTAAAACTATAATAATGCCTTGTGTTTGCATCAGCTGACCTTTCAGTACAAATAGAGTTTTTGTTGGTTTTAAACACACAAATGTTTGTGTATTCTTATCTCTCATTATGATTTAAAAAATGCTTCATAATACATATTTATTTTGAAGTATTTTCACAATCCCTGGAGCACCTTCACAGAATCTGAAATCAGGTTCTGACTACAGTATCTCAATTGAACTTTTAGTTTATGAACTCAGTTTTTGAGAACTGGTTCACCTGAAAAAAAGTTTGAAAAAATTATTCATTTTAGGCTTTTTCTGTCTTAAATATTGAATCTATTAGTCCTATAGCACTAGTAAGTGGTAGAGGCTGGTTTGAGCCCAGATCTTCTACCTGTAGGTCCGGAATTCAGTTGCATATATCCTAGGACAGGGTAAATAAATTTAGATTTGATTTTGTGGTAGTACGTAGGCATATTTTTAGTGTTTATTTTCAAGGCTGGGTCACGTACAACTTATGTAACAATTCTGTTCTTTGAAATTTCCAGAAGGATGGTATTTGTCTATATAGATTTCTTTTATTATCTTCTAATTTGGTTATTTAAAATACTTTACTTATTTCATTTAGGTATTTTTTGAAATTGGTTGTTTTGACTTTTCTTCTCCACAGAGTTATAGTGAATGGTTGCATGGATTTGAAAAGAGGGCAAAAGAATGTGTGGCTGGAACTTCAGGTTCAGAAGAGGTTAAGGTTAGTTCATGAAGTGAAGTATTTATATTTTAAAGAAGCATAGAAAAAAGAAGTAAATCAGAATTTGTCTTTATAAGCTTGGGAAAGATAAAGGCTATATTATGAGTAGAATAGTGATCTTTTCAGAAAGTATAAGAAGGTGGTTTCATTTTGTGTACATTTTGGTGGAAATGCTATTAAGTCTTCCCTGTGTTTGATTTGTGTACAAAGCTGATGTTTCTCATTTAACTCTGTTATCTTAGTCATTTCTAAAACTGAATATTTAACTGTCTGTTGCTCTCTTTTTAGCTTGGGTTTAGAAAGTAAAGACCAGTTGATAGGTAGAAACTGACTGGTTTGCTAATGTATCCCCAAATACATTACTTAAGAGTATTCAGAGCCTAGATGTATTTTTATCCTTGACTATTGAAATTTGGGAGATTAACTTTTTTTGTCTCTCAAGTGGCATGAATAAAACCCTCTTTCCCATGGCATTGTGACCTTACTTCACATGTGGATCTGCTTTGATTTTACTGTCTCACTAAAGAGTGACAAGCCTATTTATTACAAAATCGTGTGATATGTTTTGTATTAAACAGACTCTAAGAGTTTTATTAGGAAAATCAAATGACCAAAAAGGTAGTTAAACTTTATTGTTACTTAAGAAGGTTGAAATGTAGTAATTAATAATAAAACAGAAACCGTTTGTATAATATACCATTAAGTACTGAAACATATTTGAAGCACAAAACTTTCTGGTAAAACTAAACTAGAGAATTTTTCTTTATTTTATTGTTTGCAGGTTTTAGAGCACAAGTTGAAAGAAGCTGATGAAATGCACACATTGTTACAGCTAGAGTGTGAAAAATACAAATCCGTCCTTGCAGAAACAGTAGGAAATGATTTTTAACCTACATTTTAAAATAATTATTAACATTACTTAGTTGCTTAAATAGTTTATCTTGGTATTAGAACATGAATTTTTCAGAACAACTATACTTTGTTTATAGGAAGGAATTTTACAGAAACTACAGAGAAGTGTGGAGCAAGAAGAGAATAAATGGAAAGTTAAGGTCGATGAATCACAAAAGACTATTAAACAGGTACTTAAAAACGAAGAGCTTAGGGGAAAAAAAGTAAAAGGGATGTGTGAATGATTTTAAAAAAAAAAAGCTTAGAGTAGTGGTTCTCACAGTGCAGGCCCTGGACGAGCAGCGTCAGCGTCACGTGGGAACTTGTTAGAGACACACATTGTTTGGGCCCCCCCAAGGCTTACTGAATGTGAAGCTGTGGGGTAAGCAGTCTGTGTTTTAAAGAGCCCCCCAAATGATTCTGATGCCCACTGACGCTTGAGACTCACTGGTTTAGAGTATGACTAAAGAGTAATGATACAGAGTGCAGAGTGCTTTGGAAGTTAAAGAACCACAATGTGATAACATAAGGCAAAGAATTTGGTGTTCAAAATAAGTTTTAAAACACAGATATGTGACTCATGATATAGTATTCAAGAAAAAGTAAGTCCTTCTTCTGTTCACGGGACTTGAATATTATTATGTAATCTTAGTTTTTCTTCTGTTTACAGTTGTCCCTCCATATCCATCAAGGAATTAGTTCCAGGAGTCTCCACAGATACCAAAATCTGGTATCTTGGATGCTCATATAGAATGGCATAGTAGTACTTGGGTGTGGTAAAGAGTGCCATCTCTTGCTCACTTGTTTTCCTGGGCTGACCTGTGCAGAATCTAGGGTTGCTGATTGTATTCTATATTAATGCGTTTGGGGATTAAGTACAGCTGATTATTGTTAATTACAGTTAATTAACAATTAACTGGACCTAATATAATACCATGCACATGGGGTAGGTTTTGACCACAGTTTAAATCAAGTTAAATGTGACACTCTAATTTTTAAGATCTTTTAAAATTCAGTTATGGCTTTAAGTGAGATACATTTAAAAAAACCCTCTGAAGTGTCTAATTGATTAAAATTCTACAAGATAGAAAGGCCTCTGTATCCTTGGTGTTTAACTTGGTCATGTAATTATTTCACATTTCAGATGCAATTGTCATTCACATCTTCGGAGCAAGAGCTAGAGCGATTAAGAAGAGAAAATAAAGATACTGAAAATGTATGTTATCTCACCATTTGACTTGTAACCTACAGACTCATTTTTTAGCGTTAAGGATTGTCTTACAAGCTGTGTTTTAAGATTTCTTTTGTCTTAGGATGTGGTTGTTATGCCTTTAAGAATATCTTGAGTAGTGTTTCAGATGGTATAGTTTTATATTCATAAGTGTCATAACTTTTCATTGTAGGGAAGCCTCTTAGATATGGCTCTTAACTTTTCCTTCTTTGTTGCACTGCTAGCTGAGAAGAGAACGAGAGCATTTGGAAATGGAGCTAGAGAAGGCAGAAATGGAACGATCTACCTATGTTACGGAAGTCAGAGAGGTACTTACAATAGAATTTTTTTCAACCTTCTCAATTTAAGTTAAATTTATAACAGTGATAAAATATTTCAGTGTAAGTTGTTTCTGGCAGAGATTCCAAGTAGCATACAGACATGGGATATCATAAGGAAATCAATCTTAAACTCTAAACTTCATTGCAGCTGAAAGATCTGTTGACTGAATTGCAGAAAAAACTTGATGATTCATATTCTGAAGCAGTAAGACAGAATGAAGAGCTAAATTTGGTAAGAAGCTTGTTCTCCACGGGGTATCAAGTAGGCTCTGAAAACACTTGTGTTGACATGTGGAGAAACCATCCAGACTTTTTCTCCTTGCTAACACCTTTAGCTTGGCATTTTTATAAGTTTAAGATAATCTTCATATTCTGATGACTCAAGATGGTCTGTCTTTTCTTGATTCCTAAGATGATCCTTCTTTTCTTAGCTCCTAACAATGGCATGTTTGGCTTGTAACTCTTTTTCAGAATTTTCTGTGTTTTATAAAACCAAATTTCTTCAACAGCATTATTTTCAGTGAATAAAGAAATGAAACAAACAGACAAAGATTGGCTGAGTTGCAAAGATTCTCTTCTCAGAGTTACCATAGTTAACTGAGCCTCTTATTTTCTAACCTGGAAGGAGATTATTGAACGTGGAAGATACATATTCTTTGTTCAAGGGCAACGATCCAATGTAGCTTCTTATTTTAACTGGCCTTTCTACACATTATAGATAATAAAAAGCTTTTGGAATTCTTTATCATCATCGTATCATTCAGAGCATAATAATCCGAAAACTACAGACTCAAAGTTAGTTAAATGTTGTATAAAGACAGAGTACCCTGTATTCCCATTCTTAAATTTTCTGAAAATTTACACTGATTAAGACAGGCTTGATTTTTAGATAAACATGACTATCTTATTGTATGTTTGAAACTGTAATCATTATGTCTGTCTGTGACTTTTAAAAATTAAGAATATGATTAGACTTTTAAAAAGTACTTGAATGGGGCTTCCCTGGTGGTACAGTGGTTGAGAGCCCGCCTGCCGATGCAGGGGACACGGGTTCATGCCCCGGTCCGGGAAGATCCCACATGCCGCAGAGCAGCTAGGCCCGTGAGCCATGGCCACTGAGCCTGCGCGTCCGGAGCCTGTGCTCCTCAACGGGAGAGGCCCCAACAGTGAGAGGCCCACGTACCGCAAAAAAATAAAAAATAAAAAAATAAAAAAAAGTACTTGAATGAACTCTAGTACAATTGCAGTAAGTCAGTTTTCTCCTTACTATAAGTTAATGCTGCCAAGTTTGGGATTTTCTTTTTAGTACTGCTGTATGTACCAAAGAAAATTTCTTAACTCATTCATGTTAAGCAGTGTTACAGCAGTGATTTATGGGAATCAATTTTCAGAGTAGAGCTCTCTATGAAATGTACACAGAGTCCCCACCCCGACACACACACACACACACACACACACACACACACACACACACGCCCCTTTCTATTTTTGAAGTAAAATTTACCTTTATTTTACCTTAATTGAATCATTCCCACTGCAGTGTGGGAATGATTCAATTAAGGTTTTATGCATACATTTGCTATACATTGCACAGATTGGTACTATGATATGCAACAGCTTTAAGTGATATACTTATCCTGTAATGTGTTATTGTTTTTATTTTTCCTTTTTTTTTTTTTTGGTGGTACGCGGGCCTCTCACTGTTGTGGCCTCTCCCGTTGCAAAGCATAGGCTCCCGACGCGCAGGCTCAGCGGCCATGGCTCACGGGCCCAGCCACTCCGCGGCATGTGGGATCCTCCCGGACTGGGGCATGAACCCGTGTCCCCTGCATCGGCAGGCTGACTCTCAACCACTGCACCACCAGGGAAGCCCCTGTAATGTGTTTTTTAAAAAACCACTTCCACCTACAGTTGTTGGAGATTTTACTTTTAACTTTGATGCTTGGTGGCTGACTGCAGTGCAGCATCAAACCCACAGGATTATGGTTGAGTCTCCATTCAGTCTGATGCTCTCTTTGTACATTTTGACCCTTTACTTCTGTCAAGAGGTCATTTTGAGTGATATTTAAAATTTTTTTGCCTTGAGTTTGCAGTCTTCATTTTAATCTTCCTGTTTGCTTTTTGCTCAGGGTAACTGTTGCCACATTTTAAGATATATTAAAATAATTTTGTTTGCTTATACATTGTGTGTTCCTGGGCCAAAGGAATAACCTCTCTGATGTGTGAAATCAGAGTTAAGTAAAGGAGCAAGAACTGAAGCATTTGGGATAAATAGAGTTCCCAAAATAAAATTTCCAAATGGAATGTCCTGCACTAATTCTCTCTACATGTTCGAAATGTCAGTGTCTTATATTTCCCCCTTTTGGGTTTCCAGAACTGTTTGGAATGCTGTGCCTGTGGGTGAGAGACATAATTAACTTGATGAGTTTAATAAGAAAAAGTTGTCTTTTGTCAGTGAGTCCATTTCCCTCATTCTTACGTAATCAGAATAGTTACTAAGAGAACAGTCATTACGTATTAGCTCTAGAGTTTAATAGAGCTTTATAACTGTTTCAACAAGTTGGTTGAGATGTATCTATTAAGACATGTCTTGTTGATATAGCTAGGCCAGTGTGGTCTTGTACTCATCTTTCTAGTGACATCTTAAAGGATGAGTGACATTTAAATTTTTGAAGATTTCATTTTACTGGATTTGTAATCTTCTGTTCAATGTTGTTTTTTAAATATCACACAGTTGATTCTTCTTAACTGAACTATATAGGTTAAGAAAGCCTTTAAACATTTAAAAACTAGTAAAATTTCTTATGACTTGCCTTTTAATTTGAAATAAATGTGAATGAACTACCCTATGAATAGTGAATTGTAATACTTTAAAAAATGTAATCTACTGGAATTTGATGGTTTTGTTTTTATATTTGCAGTTTTCTACTCTCAACTCTAGTTGGTTTTGTAGCTTTTCTGATGTTTAGCTTTACAGATTGGAACCTCCACTTCTTAGCTTTTCTGTACATTTGGTGCAGCATATTGGCTAATCCACTGTGCATAATAACTGTTAGCGATCCCATTCTTTCTCATTCATTCTTCAGTCCTAGAGGTCTCAGCATAATCAAAGAAGGAATCAAAGAAGGATGTGAATTAATTGTGGTGTTCCTGTATTTTTACAGTTAAAGAAGCAGTTAAATGAAACACTTGCAAAACTTAGAACTGAACAAAGTGAAAGACAGAAGGTAGCTGGTGACTTGCATAAGGTAAGACACTGCTTGTCCTGAAGATGCCATATCATCATATTATGTTGTACCTTGAATCTTAAGCAGACATACTGCTAACCCTGGATTCATTCTTTTGCATCATTACATTAATTTGTTTATAAATTTAAGCTGTTTGTTATACAGTTACATATTTGGAACTAGACTTTTTGGCTTGTTTTTCCATTCTTAATTTGCTTCTTCATTTCATCATATGTATATAATTAATTGCTTTGTAAAGTGTAGATTAAATTTTGAATTCAGTTGATGTGACTCTTAAAATTGGTTACATCTATATATATATATATATTTTTTTTTTTTTGCGGTACGCGGGCCTCTCACTGTTGTGGCCTCTCCCGTTGCTCAGCACAGGCTCCGGATGCACGGGCTCAGCGGCCACGGCCCACGGGCCCAGCCGCTCTGCGGCATGCAGGATCCTCCCGGACCGGGGCACGAACCCGCGTCCCCTGCATTGGCAGGCGGACTCTCAACCACTGTGCCACCTGGGAAGCCCTCTATATGTTTTTTATTGGGATTTGCTTATATAGTCATTTACAAAGTATATTTCTTTTGATCTTCATGAATGTGAAAGAAGTATATATATATAGACCTCTGATGTTTCAGAAATTTGTCCCTTTATTTCTTTGTAGAAATATGTTTTTCTTAATGTCATATAGATGGGTGATTTTTAGGATTACATTTTTTATTCTTTGCGTTAGGTTGACAAGTTATTTGTAATTCTGTTTTGAGATTTTTTTTGTGTGTGTGTGGTACGCGGGCCTCTCACTGTTGTGGCCTCTCCTGTTGCGGAGCACAGGCTCCGGACGCGCAGGCTCAGCGGCCATGGCTCATGGGCCCAGCCGCTCCGCGGCATGTGGGATCTTCCCGGATCGGGGCACGAACCCGTGTCCCCTGCATCGGCAGGCGGACTCCCAAACACTGCGCCACCAGGGAAGCCCCTGTTTTGAGATTTTTAATAGTGTAATTCATAAATGCTTTTATCAGAGCTGCTTTGGAGCTAAGATTGTTTATAGCAGATCTAGTCATTAGCAAAACAATTAAATTTGCCACTCTTCTAAAGGTTGAAAGAAATATTTCTGTTGGTTCTGTATGATTATATCATAATTGTTATGCAAAGGTCTAGGAATCTAGAGTTGCTTCAGATTACTTTGATGTCACCAGTAGATAAAATGTGAACTTAGAGTTTCATTAGGTTTGAATCCTACTGGTACCACTTCTGAGCTGTGTGACCATGGGGCAGTTATTTGCTCTTTGCAAGTCTCAAGTTTATCTTCTATAAAATGGCATTTACAAGGGCTATTTTGTGAATGAAAATAAATTAAGAATGTGAATTATTAAAAAAAAAGTTTCAGAGCTCTGACTTAGATGTATGATACATTGTCACAATTGAGCAATCTGATTTATATTTTGATAACGTGAATGTTTGATCACTGGACAAAATATAAAACTTGCAGTTTTAGCCTAGCAGTTTATTTTCTCAGAAGGTACTTTAAGGATATTAAACAGGTGCTCAAAGATATGGATATGCCATGTTATTTGGCATAAAATGGCAACAGTAGTTGAAAGTGAACTGCACCATATCTATGTAATAGAAATACTGTGCAACTCTGAATTGGAAATGCACATAAATATTTATTGACATGTAAAAAGAAAATGCTTCGTCAAACAGCATGTATGTTAAAAGCCCATTTATAGAACATTTTCTACCAATTTTCTGTTAGGACATATATGCACTAAAGAGGGATCTAGACTAGGGGTCAGCAAACTCACAAACTGTTTTAGGATTTGTGGGCCACCTATAGTTTCTTTCATATACTCTTTGTTTTTTTGTCTAGCACGACTCTTTAAAAATGTAAAAACCATTCTTAGCTTGTGAGCTCTACAAAAACAGGCTGTGTGTGGCTAGATTTGGCTGACCTCTGATCTAGACTAATGTTAACCTAAATATCACTGGTTATTTCTGCTTTTAATTTCTTTATACATTTTCTGCATTGTTTGAACTTTTTAAAATGGTGAGCACGTGTTTTTATAATCTGGTGGGGGAGAAAGCTATTTGATTTGGGGGAAAAAATGGAACAGGTTGGCTTTATGTTGTATTTTGAGAAGAGCTTTAGTTTTGTACAAAATATAATGAGTGTAAGAAAATCACTCATTTTTTTTCTTGTATATATTTATTTATCAGTTGTATTATTCAGAGGCTCCATATTGCTTTCCTCACAGGCTCAACAGTCACTGGATCTTATCCAGTCAAAAATAGTAAAAGCTGCTGGAGACACTACTGTTATTGAGAATAGTGATGTTTCCCGAGAAACGGTATGCATTTTCTTTAGCTCCAAATCTCTGGGCTGATTACCTTGTAAATTATGTGAAGAATAAAAAATGTACAGGATCCATCTCTGCCTAAAAAAATGCCTTTTTAATGTGCTTCTATCAATTATGTTGCATTCTTAACTCAAGGTTGTTTTTTCTTTGAGGTATCTTATCTGAAATGCAGTGTTCTTATTAATGTTTGTTTTCACTTTAGCTTGGTGAGATATTATTATGTTAATGTTTAGGTTTGTGGTGGAAAGTATTATGGTATACTGCTTAAGAATGTAGACTCTGCCGCTTGTGTTGAATCCTGGTTCTACTATTCAGTAGCTGTGTGACTGACGGAGGGGAAACTCTTTATCCTCTCTGCTTTAGTTGCTCCATCTGTAAAAGGCAATGATATTAGTACCTATCTTGTAGGATTGTTGAAGGGAATAAATGAATTACTATATAAAACACTTAGAATAGTGGGTAACACTTAAAACAGTGCCTCAAGTTTAGTAAGAGCTCAATATATGTTAACTTATTTTTCTGTTGTCATGAATGTACTCTCCTTTGGTTCCTTGCAATTTTTTTTCTGAAAGGAGAAATGGATTTATATCTGATATTCATCGATTCTAGATTTTTCCCTTTGTAACCTAGTAACAACATTTATAACATAACTTTCTTTGATGCAAGCTAATTTGCAATGCTAGGTAGCAAACACTATTGCTCTGTGTGGTTTTTATTGTCAATTTTCATATCATCTTTCAGATTTTTTTGTTTGTGTTTAAAACAGCAATAAACTATTTTCGGTTTTGGTTGCAAATGCGTTTTTCTTGGGCTCAGGGTTTTTCATCTCTTCCATCTTCTTTTTAGGAGTCTTCTGAGAAGGAGACAATGTCTGTAAGTCTAAATCAGACTGTAACACAGTTACAGCAGTTACTTCAGGCAGTAAACCAACAGCTCACAAAGGAGAAAGAACACTATCAGGTATTAGGTAAGAATAACTGAAGTATTACTGTCTGTCTATAGATAATTGACATAGTGTGTGTGTAAATGTATGTATAGTGTGTATTTACTTTAAATATAGGAACTCTTGTTACCCTAGTGGAAATATTCCCTCTTTATCTCTCTCAGAACCTCCAAATGACAGCTTTATAGCTTTCTTGGAGTTTTATTTCCATCTTGTACATATTTTTTGGTCTTGTAGCTTGGAGGAGAAAAAAACATGCCTTTTTTTTTTTTTTTTTTTAATATGTAAGTTTCATGAGTATAGCATTACACATGTGTACACTGTAAGATGATCACCACCACAAGACTAGTTACCATCTATAACCATACAGTTGACTTCCTTTTCCCATTTTGTCCACCCTCCAACTCCCTTCCCCTCTGGTAACTACTAAGCTGTTCTCTTTTATGAGTTTGTTTTTGTTTTGTCTGTTTGTTTTGTTTTAGATTCCACATATGAGTGAAATCATATTGTCTTTCTCCATCTGACTTATTTTACTTAACATAATACCTCCAAGTTCTAACCATGTTGTTGCAAATGGCAGGATTTCCTTCTTTTTTATGACCAAGTAGTATTTCACTGTGTGTGTGTGTGTGTGTGTGTGTGTGTGTGTGTGTGTGTGTGTACACATACATACCACATCTTCTCTATCCATTCATTCATTGGTGAACACTTAGGTTGTTTCCATATCTTGACTATTGTGAATAATGCTGCAGTGAACATATCTTTTCCAATTAGTGTTTTCATGTAAAAACCCTTTTTCTTTGCCTCTTTTGACCTTTTTACAGAACAGACTCATAACTTGTTTACCTAGGTTTTGTTCATTGCCATAATGTCTGCAACTGTTTCTTTAGTTTATCCTGATGTTCTGATAAAATATCTGTGTGATTTCTTTTTTTTTTAATGACTTGGTAAAATAAAGTGACTATAATGTTTTTACTGAGGTAAGATGCTGAACTGAAAATCAAGTCATCACAGTTTCTTTACATTGGAAGCTGGATTTTATTTAAGTTTGCTGTGGGTAATCAAAGAAATCCATTTTTTAACTCCTGAAGTGAAAGTCTTAACTGAAGATAAACAAACCAAGCTATAAAATTTTATTGCCCATATTACCTGGAAATGCATGTTGATTGATTTGATTCCTGGGTTTTGCCTGTTTTAAGAATGACTTAAGTCACAGTGCCTTGGGTAGTTAGGGTGTTCTGATACGCACTGAATACTTTAGATATTCTTCTTTTGAAGCTGTTTGTTCTATAATAATTGTGGTGTCCTGGACATGAGTAGGGTGGCCTGTGCAGTGCCAGGGGCAACTCATCACTGAATTGTCCCTTTCAGAACCCAAACTTAAGACTCTTAGGCTATACAAAGGCCTCAGGATAGGTTAGGTGCTCTGGAAAAGTTGGGATGGACCTCCATCTTGATCACAGGGGCATTCTGTCTCACTTTTGTAGAATGATTGTCCTCTGGCCTGTCTTAGCATACACTCTCCTTTAAAATGCTATTTCAGGTCAGTTACCTCTAAGAAGACTTTTCAAATAAACCCAACTCATTCTTATAACCTGTCAGCAAAAATAATTATACCTTAATCTTTTATCTTTGGTAAGCTGACCTCTCAGTTGCCTAGAGTTAAATATCTGCCACCTGACCACTCTTCCCCAAATTAGAAAATAACCTCGTTTCCTGCTTCCCAGGGCAACTTTCCTTCCCACATCTTCAGTCCTGCTTCAGTCCTGAAGTCCACATCTTCAGTCCTCTCCACTCACTGCTTCTGTTCAGTCTTGAAAAATGCTCAAATATATTATTTTAACTTTGCACTTTCTTCAGATTACCACCCTAATTTTTTTACTTCACTGTTTAACAAAAATTCTTAAAAGAAGAAACTATTCTTACAGTCTCATGCTACTAACTACTCCATCTCCTCTGGAATGGCTTCTCTTTCTGCCATTCTGTTGAAACCGTTTTTGCTGAGGTAATTCATTAATGATTTCCTAATTGCTAGAGCTAATACAGGATCATCTTTTGCCTATAAGATACTGAAAATAGTTGTGAATTATTCTAAATACTGTGAGGTCAGTCCTTAGGCCTCTGTTTTCTAAGGGAAGGGTTTTGCTTCTGAGAACCTAAAAAATTATAAGATGGCCTGTTACCCTTTGTCTTTAGACCTTGTCAGTTGTATCTCTCCGGCATCTCAAAAGTGTTCTTCAGTATTTTCTTTTTCTTCTCAAACACGTGGTCTGAACCATTTTTGCTTGCCTATTTCCACATTTGCCTTAATCATATTAAATTTGAGACTTACACTGATCATTGGTAGTTAACACTTCTATTTTTCCAGATTTTTTTCTTCCTAATTTATAAAAATGTAGTGTGTAATTTGTTAAAAGAAATACATATACCCTGGCAACACAGCAGAAACTGAACTGTTGTTTAGCAGGCAGCTCACCTAAGTGATAGATAAACTCAACTTTCTTTTGTTAGCTGATGAACTTAATTTCAAATTTGGCAAGTGAAAGGGCGGTTGAGTGGTCAGCAGTGTATCATGAAAGATAGATGGATTGTATGAAGCTAGAGGTCCACCAACACTTGAGAACTCTCTCCTTGCATAGGTTCTAGCCAGCACTGACAGTGATAACCCCTCCTTAGGGATCTCTTGGTTCCCACAGCTCTTCTTTATGCCCTTTAAATGTTTGTGTTACCCTCAAGTTTTTAACTTCAGCCATCATTTTTGCTCAGTGTATTCTCCCTCTTGTCAACTCTTTTAAAATTACTACCAGATAATTAAATTGGAAATACAGATTTCTTAATCATCAGAATATATAGGTTAATGTCTGATGTCAAGAATCTTTTTTTTCTTTGCTGCTTTATTTAGGTATACGTTATTACTGCTTTTTTTTTTTTTAATTAAAGCATAGTTAATTTACAATGTTGTTTTAGTTTCTGGTGTACAGCAAAGTGATTTAGTTATATATATACATATATATATTCTTTTTCATATTCTTTTCCATATAGTTTATTACAAGATATTGAATATTCAATATGTTGAATATTGAACCTTATTGAATAAGGTTCCCTGTGCTCTACAGTAGAACCTTGTTGTTTATCTTGTTTTATATATAGTAGTTTGTATCTGCTAATCTCAAACTCCCAGTTTATCCCTCCCCCAGCCCCCTTTCCCCTTTGATAACCATGTTTATTTTCTATGTCTGTGAGTCTGTTTCTGCTTTGTAAATAAGTTCATTTGTGTTATATTTTAGATTCCACATATAAGTGATATCATATGGTATTTGTCTTTCTCTTTCTGACTTACTTCACTTAGTATGATAATCTCTAGTTGCATCCATGTTGCTGCAAATGGCATTATTTCATTCTTTTTTATGGCCAAGTAATATTCCATTGTATGTATATACTACGCCTTCTTGTTGATGGACACTTAGGTTGCTTCCATGTCTTGGCTCTTGTAAATAGTGCTGCTATGAACATTGGGGTGCATGTATCGTTTTTAATTAGAGTTTTCTTCAGCTGTATGACCAGGAGTGGGATTGGCATGTGGTAACTATTTTTAGTTTTTTGAAGAACCTCCATACTGTTTTCCATAGTGGCTGCACCAGTTTACCTTCCTACCAGGAATCTTACTTCTTTTTAGTATATACTACAAGTATATATGAATTGTTTAAGATAATGCTGTACATTTTCAGTAAGAGAAAAGCTATTTTTAAAAGACAAAAATGAGAGAGATGATGTATAGTAATTTAGTTTTCGAAATCCTAATACACAGAACTTAGCCTGCCTTTGAGTTGTAGGGGCATTTGTCTTGCGCCCTTAATTTGTAAAACATTAACCCTTCTTTTCTTCTGGAAGTCTTCCTGCTCATCTGCTATCCTTCTCTCCCCACCCCTGCCACCTCCCCAAACAGAAGGCTGTCATCCGCCTGCCCCCCTTTTAATTAAGGTAATTTTTTTTGTAGCTTTGGATCGTTAACACTAGTATTTTGTAGTATACTTTTTTGTTTCCAGATATCTACTTTTTCTTGTGTTTCATCTCTGCCTGGCTTCTAAGTGTTCCAAGTGTATGTCCGACTATATCAGAAAACTTTATCACCCCATGTCTTAGTCTGTTTGGGCTGCTATACGAAACCCCCATACACTGGGTGGCTTAAGCAGCAGACATTTATTTTTCACATTTCTGGAGGCTGGGGAGTCTAAGATTAAGGCACCGGTAGGTTCTGTCAGGTGAGACCCACTTCCTGGTTTAAAGATGGCCATTTTCTTGCTGTGTCCTCACATGGCAAAAGGGGCAAGGGAGCTCTCTGGGGTCCTTTTTAAAAGGGCACTAATCCCATTCATGACAGTGGAATCTCCTAAAGGCCCCACTTCCAAATACCATTACATGGGGGTTAGAATCTCAACATAGGAATTTTGGGGGATGGAGGGGGGACACAAACATTCAGACTATAACACCCAGGATCCTTTACCTTGGAACCTGTTTGTGGAATCATGTGGAAGGAGGCTGATGATTTTAACAGCTGACACTTCATGAATGTGCCTCTAAGAACGAACATGCTTCTAACATATGGTCATTCATTTAATTTTTCACAACAACCCAGTGCAGTAGATAGGTAGGGATGATGGTGATGATGATGAAGATGATGATTAATATTATTACTTATTTTTTTATTCCCATTTTACAGCAGACCCAAAGAAGCTCTGTAAGTTGCCCAAAGTCACACAGCTAGTAACTGGGTGAGCTGGGATTTAAATTAAGGTGGTCTGGGCCTAGGCCCTGTGCTCTTAATCTGTACTTTTCTTCTCCCTATTTCAAGCACTGTGTGCTCTGATCCTTGTCACAGCTTTTTTTCCTCCTCATTCTGTCTAATCCTTTATTGCCAGCTTCTTATAGTTTCTTCCTTCAGTTCTGGCTTTTTCCTAAAGTTGTTAATTTGGTTTGTCAATATTGAATTGGAGAGGCTCTTGATGTTATCCAGGAAAAACTGAGGTGAAATTTTGTGTATGTGTTTTGTATATATATGTCTTCCTTACTCCCTTTAACAAATAGATTCTTTCATGATACAGTTTTCTCTTGTTTCTGAAAGGAAAAAGTTCTTTTTTGGTGCTATTGGAGTGTAAGAGTTAATGTTTCAGACAAAAACTAGCTTTTATTTCTACACTTTACACTTGACTGTCATATGGATCAGGTTTTCATTTTATGTAATGTGTTTACACAGCACTTCTTAGTTTAATGTACCAGTGGGCTATGTAGACTTTCTGATTAGCTGTTAATCTTGTTTTAATTAGAGAACATGATAGCCAGTGATAACTTTGCTTTTTAACTTTCTAATTGCTGCTTTTCCCCTCAACTTTTTAATTTTGAAAGATTTCACACTTAATGAAAAGTTGAAAGGATATATAATATATAACACTGACACCCTCCAGCTACTTCATCTCTTTATTCGTGTATATACATATTTTGTTGATGTCAACACATTTGAAAGTAACTTTCAGATAATATGGCATTTTACCCCTAAGCACTTAAGTATGTATCTCTTAAGAACAAAGACATTCTCTTACAAATCCATAGTATCACTGTCACATCCAAAAATACCAGAACAGTAGCTCTAATATCATCCATTTTAAAGCCCATATTTGTGTCCCCACTTATACCCGAAATATCTTCTTAGCTATTTTTTCCAAACCAGGATCCAGTCAAACTTCACATTTTGCATATGGTTAAGTCCTTTTAGTCTCTAATGGCTTTTGAAGTTTAATTTCTTTAGTCATTTTATCTGACTTGGAAAGCTTCAAAAGACCTTAGAAAGTCTCTGTCTGAAGCTTAAATTATTTATTCGCCAGGGGTGAGTTGTAAATTTCAGTTTCTTTCCAGTGCTGCTCACTCACCTTAATAGCTTTACAGTCTCTTGAGTAGAACAGTAATACAAATGGACTCCCAATGTTGTTCTCTTAAATGTTTTCTAAATAGGATTTTTAAATCCCTATATTATTCTCAGTTTGGTCTGAGATTTTGGTTCACATATTTAAAAATCCACCTTGCAGAAGCTCCTTCTGAATCCTGAGATTTTTCTCTTATTTTTGATTACCATCAGTATTAATTGTTCTGATCTTAGTTGAAAAGGCCATGCTAGATCAAATGGCATATGTACTTTTGGTATTTGACAGATGTCTTTTGATTGCCTTTTGTTTCTTTGTTTTAAAATGAATTTCTTTCTTTCTGATCTTTTACAGAGTGAAGTAATTGGGAAACTGTTCATTCAAGGATAACAGAAGGCATTGTATTATATTTTGCCAAATTAAAGCCTTATTTATGTTTTCACCCTTTCTACTTTGTCAGAAACACTGAACAGAGTTTTGTCTTTTCTAATCCTTGTTAGACTACTGATTTAAAGAGAGAGAAAAAAGCCAACTCTGTAGACACCTTCAGAGTTTAGTTTTATAATAAAAACTGTTTGAATAATTAGACCTTTACATTCCTGAAAATAAAATAAACATGTAATCTTTTATTTTGCTCAATAAAATTGTTCAGAAGATCAAAAGTGGTAAAGACAATGTAAAATTTAACATTTTAATACTGATGTTGTACACTGTTTTACTTAACATTTTGGGGAGCAGCTGCCTCTGACTTCAACTCAAGAAAACACTTTTTGTTGCTAATGTAATCGGTTTTTGTAATGACGTCAGCAAATAAAGGGATGCTTATTATTCAGACTGATTTTGATTTTCGTTGAGCTTTAACAGATTTCATTAGCACTTAGATCAACATAATTTAGAGCACAATCATTAATTGCAACTTCAGACAGGGTAGGTTTGTTGCTTGTACACCTCTAACTAGAGCTCTGGGTCTTCTCTGTGGTTCTGTGCAATGAAAGCTGTGTCCTGAAGGTAGTGTGGGTTACAGAAAGGATGGGGCAAGTATTTAGGGTTTCAGACCTACCACCCCTGCTTCAGGTAGAAGAGCTCTACTTTATTTTTACTATTACTATTATTATTTTAAGTAATGATTAACTTTTTTGTTTCCTTCTTATCAGACACTTTTACACAGTTTACATATGTTATCCTTTTTGTTGTTTGAACATGTTGATAACATATGTTATCTTTTTTTTTCTTTTTCTTTTTTAATAATTGGCTGAAAACACTGAGTGCTCAGATGCTAAATAACCATTGACAAATGTCTTAGGCCACTGAGTATTAAAGTACCTGCTATGTCATATGGTGGCCTCCTTGCTGTTTCAGCCATGCTTCTACCATGGGGCCTTTCCACTTTCTGTTCTTTCTGCTACAGCTGTCTTCTCTTGGGTGTCAGTCTTGGCTGGTTCGCTCACCATCATGAAATCTGCTTAAGTGTCACCTTTTTCATCGGGTCTTGACTACCCAGTATTCCCCCTGCCTCCCTATCCGCCTACCTGTCTTGGTCTATAACATTAACAGTCCTCCAGTATATACTTGGTCATTCCCTATACCCCTCCCTACCAGAAAGTAAGCTCCAGGAGGGCAGGAACCATCTCTTTTGTTCCTTGCTTTATCCCCAGCCCTGAGAAAGTACCTGACACTTAATTGTGCTCAAATATTTAAATGAATGAATGGATGAAGTTCATCTTTATTTTTTATTTTTTTGGCCACACTGCATGGCTTGTGGGATCTTAGTTCCCCGACCAGGGATCGAACCTGGGCCTGGCAGTGAAAGTGCCAAGTCCTAACCTCCGTACCACCAGGGAATTCCTGAAATTCATTTTTATACCTTGAGGATTATCTAAAGTGGTGCCTTCACCACATAGCACATGCACCAAATAGTATTTCTAAAGTATAGAGAGAGAAACTGAAGAAACTGCTCATGGCCATTGGTAACTGGCCTGGGAATTTGGGCTGCTTTCAGCAAACCACTGGGAAATTGGTCTGAAGGCCAGCCAGATGCCGTATCATCGTCGTCTCTTTTTCCTTTGCTGTTGCCTATAAAGGTACTCATGTCTCTGCCTTCTGAAAAAAGCAAACAAATCCCACTTTCCATCTTACAGCCTCTTCTTGCTATTCTTTTTTTTTTTTTAATAAATTAATTAATTTATTTTTGGCTGCATTGGGTCTTTGTTGCTGCACGCTGGCTTTCTCAGTTGCAGTGAGCGGAGGCTACTCTTCATTATGGTGCGTGGGCTTCTCACTGCAGTGGCCTCTCTTGTCGCGGAGCACAGGCTCCAGGTGCGCGGGCCTCAGCAGTTGTGGCCCACGGGCTCAGCAGTTATGGCCTGCGGTCTCCAGAGCACAGGCTCAGCAGCTGTGGCACACGCAGTTGCTCCATTGCATGTGGGATCTTCCCGGAGCAGGGCTCGAACCAGTGTCTCCTGCATTGGCAAGCAGACTCACAACCACTGCACCACCAGGGAAGTCCTTCTTGCTATTCTTGCTCAGAAGAACTGTGTAACTGTATTATTTTTCAACCTCCTTATATGTTTGAATTTAAAAAAATTGCAAGAGATTTTGAGGACTCAGTCTTAATCTCTGATTAATTTCTGTTCCCTCCCTCAACATCCCAACCAAATACATGTTCATCTTTTTGCTTCTGAAGTGGAGGGAAGTTCACAATTAGGTACAATTGTAATTGTTAATGGTTATTAAGTTACTGTATTGAAAGTTGTGTTACTGTTACTCACATCAGTTTGTCCTACTTACTCCAGAATCACACAGGAAAAGCGTACCATACTCCCATTCATTTATTCTTCAAATATGCCAAGTTAGCCCATGTTCTCTGAAGTCCATTCCCCTCTAGGTTAAGTATCCCCAGTTCCTTAGTTACCCTGAATGATGGAAGGCTAAACTAGCCTACTCGTCTCATCCATCCCCAGCTGTCTACCCTTCCCCAGTGTCCTATAGGCAGATCGCTGGGAGAGGATGGGAGCATCAAAAGAGAGGTCATCTGTGTCCTCAGTCTCTAGTGGCCCCTCTTGCCACTGTTAACAGCCAATTGAGGCAGGAAGCAAGCCTGAGAATATTTCTCAGTTTGGGGAGTGACTATAGGGAGGAAGAATGACCCTTATGCCACTGAGTATTAAAGTACCTGCTGTGCTATATGGTGGCCTCCTTGCTGTTTCAGCCATGCTTCTACCATGGGGCCTTTCCACTCAACTGTAGTTGAGAGCAGACATCTTGATCCCTAGAAAGAACAGAGAGATGTGGAAGGGAGGAGTGACGGGATACCTGAGAAGCAAGCTATACCCTTCAGTTTGGTGTAGTAAAACTAGTATATTTCTGGCAGGTCAGTGACACTGGGTAAGGCTTGAGCACCTTGTAAGTGTTCACCCCAGCCGCAAGACGGCAGCACCTGTATCACCCATAGAGGGTTAGAGCCAGGACCAGATTTTCACATGTCTTGCATCCCAGGACGAATCATATATGGGCATCTGCCACTTGTGAGATCTGCCCTAGACGGCGTGTACAGGAGGAGCAGTGATCACCAGAAGGGGGCTGCATTTGCACCCTCGGTTGAGTAGAGATGTTTGTCCTTTGACCCCATTCATCATCTGGGTCCCCAGAGAAGGGAGGGCAAAGGAGGAGTTAAAGAACAGTCTCCTCCCTGTTGCTGCCACTAAGGCCAGCGACACTGACCTGGACTTGGATTAGCTGCAGTTACAGGACAGCTGTGGGAGCTGCCCAGGTTGTGCTTAAGAGAAGAGGGAGGTGCTGCACAGAGACCGTGCTTGGGAAAATGAGGCCAAATCCAGGCTGTTCTACCAACTGGTTGATAGATTTTTCTCTTTCTTCTTGACTCAGTTTTTGTCATTTGTGTTTTCCTCAGAAATTGGGCAATTTCATATTCATTGGTGGAGTTCTATTATGACAGTTAACACATAATCACTTATACAACCTACCACATGCCAGACATTTTTAAAGCACTGTACTTGCGTTAACTCATTTAATCCTCACCAGAATTTATTGAAGGGGTGCTTTTATCAACATCTCCATTTTATAAATAAGGAAATTGAGGCACGGGGGGACAATTAAACAAGGTCTCGCAGCTACTGACTGGAGGAACTAGGATTCAATCCTCCAACTTAAGCCTTCTGGCTTGCTTCTCTTATTGGCTCATTCGTATATATATATTCACATATATATATGTGTGTGTGTGTGTGTAATTATATAATTTAAAAATATACTTTTTTTTATTAAACCTATTTGTTCCTGATGTTATTGTACCTTCTCATTTTCTCTTGACTGTACTTTCCAAGGGATCTTCAACCTCAGTGGTTCTCAGAAGTGTGGTCTGCAGTGCTCTGGGCATCGCCGGGGTCCTTCCTAGAACTCCAAAAGGTCAAAACTACTTTGATAATACTAAGATGTTATTTGCCTTTTTCGCTGATGGTGTTAAAACAAGTAGGTAAAATTGCTGGTGCTTCAACAAGGATCAAAGCAGTGGTTCCAAACTGTGTTAGTAGTTACTGTATTTTCACCACTATTCACTCCCAGTAAAGACAGTATCGGATTCACTTAAGAATGTCTTTTCTGATGAGATCAGTAGTGGTAATAATGAATGTGCTTTTTTGGTATATATAATGAAATGTGTCAACGTTTGGAAGATCTGCATAACTCAGTGAACCAGTATTTTCCAAATAACCAATACACAATGTTATAAAGTCAGGCTTGGGTAAAAGATTCATTCAAAGAACAAGACAAACTAATGGATTTTAATGTAACAGAGTACAAAAAGTTCATTGATAGGGTTTCATACTCTACATCATGATTAATCTTTAAGAAATTGCCATCTGTTGAGTTTTGCTATTGTGTCAAAGGATATCAACAATTACCTGAAATGGCTACTTCTCTGTTTTCCAGTGACATATCTGCATGGGGCCATAGTTCCTTCGTATACTTCAACCAAAACTACCTGTCACAACAGATTGAATGTAGAAACAGTTGTCTTCTATTGAGCCATATGTTAAAGAAATTTGCAAACACGTAAAGCAATGCCAGTCTTCTCACTACATCTTTTTGGTTTGTTTGTTTTGGAAAATGAAGTTATATTTCACGAGAACCTGTTATGATTTTAAAATAAACTTTAAAATGAGCATTTATAATTTTTCTTGGCTTTAACTTCTATTATATTGAATATTAATAGAAATAACCGAAGAGCTTTTAAAAGTGTAAAGGAGTTCTGAGAAGAAAAATTTGATGGTTACTGGTCTAGCATATTGTTTTTTTCCAACAGCTTTTAAAATTATACTAGGCAGTTCTATCAGCACTTTCTTGTTGTATTTTGTTTTATGTTTAATTCATATGTGATCTTATCATTTTCAGTCTTTTTACTTTCTTTGCATTTATTTTGTTGCACTTTGCCAACTTCTTGTCTTTAAATGTTAATTCATTTATTTTCAGTTTTTCTTATTTTCTAATTCCTTTCAGAGGCTGTAAGTTTTCCTCTGAACTTATTTGCATCCCACAGATTTTGATATGTGGGGATTTTGCTGTCTTTCAGTTCTTATGATCATGAATATTTCAGATACACAAAATCATGAAAAAATAATAGAAAAAAACCCGTGTACCCCACTCAATATCAAATATTAACATTTTGTCATATTTGCTCGAGTTTTTTGTGTGTTTTTTTTTAATAAAAGGAACAAAACAATTGGTTCAGATGAAGCATCTTGTATACCTCTCCCTGATCCCATTTCCCTCCCTTTCCAGAGGTAGGCACTGCACTGAAGGTAATGTTTATCATTTAATTTTT